CGCGGAGGCGCGGGCGCGCCGGCCCGGAGTCGGGGTGGGGGTGGTGGTGACCAGCTGCAGGCATCCTGGGTCCGTCCTCCTGGGAAAGAGGAAAGGGTCGTTTGGAGCTGGCAGTTTCCAACTTCCTGGGGGTCACCTGGAGTTCGGGTAAGCGGCCGCCTCACCGACGCGGGGAAGGCGGGCGGTGCGCCGGGGGACGAGGCGCCGGCCGGCAGGGGGCGTGAGCTGGATGCGGGTCAAGAAGGGTGTCCTTGCCCAGTGCTTTCATCTCCGCGTCTGCCCTAGTTGGTTTGTGAGGTGTGTTTTTCTTAGTGCGTACGCGGGAAAGACGCAGAGGCGGTATTTATAAACCTCGAGCAGTCGCGCGTCGTCGGTTAAGACATTTGCGCCATTTCCCGGTAATTTAAACGTACGCAGGTATGTGGACTAGCTCTTGCCCGTGTTGGTCCAGCTGCGCGCTAGTGAAACTCGCTGAGCCTCAGTTTCCCCATCTTTAAAATGCAGGCGTACGAAGTACTCTTGAAAATCCCTCTCTGCTTTGGCATCCTGTGATTTGATGCTGTATCAGAGTGACAAAGTTGTACAGTTAAGAGGCAGTTCTACACAGAGTGAAGAAAGCCTGGTATTGTGCCAAAAGGCGCATTCTGAAGTGAAAATAAGGTTCAAGTTAATAGCAGATAAACAGCATCTAAAGCATTCAGACCCAATGCTTGGTTTTCCTTTAGTTTAAGAAGTTCCAAACATACATGAAAATAGAGAAAATTGTGAACCCTTATACCCATCACCTGCCTTGTTCTTGTCTCATCTTTACTGCTCCCCTGCAAACACACACACACAACCCTTGTTTTCTAGACCATTTCAAAAGAAATCTCAGACGCCCTATTATACCACCCCTAAACAGTTAGGTATGTATCTGTAATAAACTTTAAAAAACATAACCACAATACTATTTTCACACCTAACACAATAATTCTTTAATATCGTACCCAGTCTTTGCCGTTTTCCCCAAGTGTCTTGTAAATGTCTTTTTACTATTTTGTACCAATCAGTATCAAAGGAGGGGCACGTATTGTATGCGGTTAATAACTTTTTAAAATCCCTAACCCCCCTCCCCTTTTTCCCCATGGTATATTGAAGAATATGGGTCCACCTATTTCTTATAAAGTGGTAGTTAGAAGTAGGGGCTTAATCCTAGTGCTTTTTAATCAGACTTTGTTCTTTATAAACTGTGGAATTCTCATTATCTTTTAGCACATGGAATTTTTTAATGGTCTTCAGAGTTTTAAAAAGTATCAGTAAGTTCATCATTTTCAGGGAATTAAGATAAGCTATCAGTTAATAAATAATAAAATTTCTAGATTAAGAAGCAAATTCCCCAGGCAGGCACACCATATTACTTTATCAATTGTTGGTGGGCATTAGCCAAATTTAGATCACAAACTAAGCACTACTTAGAATGTATAATTACTAAAGCAATGGCTAGAGATAGCAGTCTTAACAATAACACAAGATAATATTGAAGTATTGACTAAATTATTAACTGATAAAAGCCAACATTGGACTGTAATGAGCTTTTTACTAAGTGCTAGATATGCTAAGTTCTTCACATGTATGCTGTTATTTTTCTTTATATAACTGGTATACTGAGTGGGCTAAATTTTATGGAAAACAAACAGGAAATGGCTTTATCTTCTCCTTCCATTGTCTTCACACATAATTTGTCTTTCCCATTTCTGCTGCTTCATGATATTTCCTGCAAATTCTATTGTTTTCCTTCTCTTGATTATAAAAATAAATCACATTTTGGTGATTATGATCCACTTCCAAGCATTTATCTCTGCCCTGTGGTGAGGAAAGGAGATGTGGGCCATTGTTTTGCTCTTTCTCCACCTTCTCTTCTCACTGTTTCTAGTTTCCTTCCCTCTACAGTGTATTGGGGAAAGAGGGAAGTGGCCAAACCTTTTACAGGTCTGGTGCTGCTGTTATCCATCCATTGGTGCCCTCTGGATACGTTATTCACATGTGTGTGCTCTCTCTCAGGATATGTTTTTGGCTGTCTGGAAGTCTTTCAAGAATTTCTGCACTGCACAGTTCCCTGACATAAGTGACCAACTTACTGTGATATTGGTTCCCCTCTACTAGCTCTTGCTTTTAGCACACTACCCTACATTTTCTTTCTGCTGGGGTCCCCAGCAGTGTGTTGTACCATCTGCTTGACCCATAGGAAATTCACAATGGAAATAATGCTTTCACTGCTGCTCTTTTTCCTTGCTCAGTAATTGTGGGCTGCTCTAGCCAGTCTCCTTCCTTCCAAATTTCCAAAGTGGGGATAAGCATCAGCTGCTGTGTTCACATGTATCCCTACACACCAAGGGACACATTTCAGACTTACCCAAGAGCTCTTACCCCTCTACCACCTCTACTCTAATGCATTGGGGTAGGCCTGTGAGTTTCTGTCACTCACCATGCATACCTTCAGCAGGGGAGTGACAGGGCCAGCATGTCCTTCTTGGGAGTCACACCCAGTCTGTAATACTAATTCTTCTCGAGCACCGGCCTCTCACTTGGTTTGGGGGCAGAGTTGGCCTCTCATCAGGAGGAAGGGAAACATTCCTACAAGGCTGAAAAATCATAACTTTCCTCCTTCCTGAAGATCTCTCGACTTTCAATGTAGTCTGGCTTTTCTTAGCAAACCCTAGAGTTCACATGGCATGTTTGCTCTTTTGCTGTCCTCTTTGGAATTTAGAGGTGCATAGTGCCTGTTCTCAATTTCGAGGCATAGACTGAAATTCTGAGACTACAAGAAAAGACATAGTCCACTTCTTGATACACTTACAACAACCCCATGAGAAACTAACATTATTCTCTTTTTACTTATCCAAGGTAGGAAGTAATAGATTTCAACTCAAACCTAGGTCTAATTGACTTCAAGCCTGTGCTCTTAACTAATATACTGAACTGCCTCCTGGTTGCATACTGCTTCCAGGCATCTGAACTAGTACTGAATTTACTAAATGCTCACGTTTTGTTGCTCAATATGAAGTCCTTTTTGTCTTCTGATAACTGTATACAGGATATACAGAATGTCAAAGGCAGGGTTTGATTTTATTATTTTAACGCATGAACCAATTACAGTTCTTTTTGCTTTACACTAGAAATTTCTAGCCAAGAATTTCTGGCAAAAAATAAGTGGATAGAATTGAATACAATGGTATGTTTCTGTTTTTCAGTGAAAGCTGGGAAGAATGTGCCCAAAGGGAAACCTGGGAAGAAGCAGCTCTTCACCTGAAAAATGTTCGCTTTGCCTCGGTTGTGAATTCTTTTGTTGAGAAGGAGAATTACCATTATGTCACTATACTAATGAAAGGAGAGGTGGATATGACTCATGATTCAGAACCTAAGAATGTAGAGCCTGAAAAAAATGAAAGTAAGAGAATTATCTATAGTAATGCATTTTTTATTTAGGAGAGTATAACTTCTGAAGGAATATTACATTATGTTGCCATATGAGGAGAATTAGATTTTCTTCATATAGAAATATAAATATACTTAAATCCTGGAGTCACAAGGACATAACAGGAAAGAACCGGCACCTGAGCCAGACTACTTGGTTTGCATTTTGATTCTTTCACTTAGAAATTTGTGACCTTGGGGAAGTTATTATCCTCTTTATGCCTCATTTCTCATCTGTGATAATATTAACTACCTCAGATGAGTTGTTGTAAGGGGAAAATGAGTTAATACATTTAAGAACCTAGTGAACACAGTAAATATTCAGTAAATGTTAGTTTTATTGTTAGTGTTTATTTTTTTTACAAACTATGATTTTAAGCAAAACATTTAATGTGCCTTCCTCAGGTTTCTCACCTGTGCAAAAGAGGTAATGACTTCCTTTTATAGAGAATGATTAACCTGACAAAACAGTTATCTATTATCTTCTTTGTTGAATTAAGTGCTCTAGGAACTTTAATGGCAATAACTTATGTTTATTATTTACTCCATATTAAGCATTCTTCTAAGGGGTTTGAATGTATCATCTCTTCAAATTTGATAAAACTCTATGAGAAAAGGAACTAAAGAGAAAAATATCAAACTTATTGAATATATTATTTTCCGCATGAAACTTTATTCAAGTGGTCTCATGTAGTGGACCTACCCTCTAAATATTTAATTTCTTTTCTAATATGGAAGACTGTTTTCATTCAAAAAATACTCATTGAGAACTGTGTTCCGGACACTGTTCTAGGCAGGCACTAAAGAAACAGTGATGTATAGAATGAAGTCCCTGTCCTCCTGGGGGAAAAGGCAGCAAATTAGCAGATATTTTACAATAGTAACGATAAGGAATAAGAAGGAAAGTCTGTGTAAGGATAGTGGTACGTGTGTGCTGTGTCACGATGGTCAGGAAGGGCCTCTGATAAGGGGACATGTATGCAGAGGCCTGGGGAAGTGATATTTGTAGAATGAATAAATCATGTCTGAGGTGTTTTAGAGATTGATTTGATTGAATGAATGAAAGGGTATGTTCTATCCGAAGTTCTTTTGAGTCATGCAAATGTTTAATAAAGTAACTACTTGGAATCACATAAAATGAACTAGCAAAATCTGAGCTGAGTTGTTTTTACTCACAACACTTCAGACACCAAATGTGTGTGTTTTTTCCTCATACCAACTAATTTTCCAGCTCTCCAAAAAGCAACTGGCTGGACTACATTTCAATTCAATTCTGACACTATCTATCCATAGTTACCGTCAGATCTCAGAAGTTTTAAGCACTCAGTCCCACAGACTGCCCCACCTCAAACACCATGCAGAAGTCCTGGCCTCCTGTAATTTTGACCACATAACTATATACATCAGGGATTCCCACGGCCCCCTTCTCAGGTTCAATAATTTGCTAAAATGGCCCACAGAACTCAGAAAAATATTTTACTTGTATTACTAGTTTCTTATAAAGGCTATAACTCAGGAATAGCCAAATGGAAGAGATGCCCAAGGCGAGGTATGGCCTTGGTATGGAGCTTTCATGGCCTCTCCGGGCATGCTACCATCCAAGCATCTTAATGTGTTGACAAACTTGGAAGCTTTCCAAATTGAGTTGTGTAGGGTTTTTGTGAAGGTTTCATTACCTAAGAATTTATTATTGGTTAAATTATTGTCTACAGGTGATAAACTCAATCTCAGTCTCCCCTTCCCTCCTCTAAGGTGGGCCCTGAGGGTAGGGCTGAAGGTTCCAACCCTCTAATCATGCCATGGTCTTTCTGGTGACCAGCCCCCATCCTGAAGCTATCTAGGGGCCCCCAGCCACCAGTCATCTCATTACCAAAAACTCAGGTATGGATGAAAGGGGTATTTTATGGATAACAAAAATGCTCTTTTCATTTCTGTCACTCAGGAAATGACAAAAGGTTTAGGAACTCCGTGCCAGGAAAAAGGGATGAAGCTCTCTTGAGACTCAGTTAATTTAGCATTTTGCAACATTTTGTTGGGCAATATCTCGCTCTATCTCTCTCTCTCCCACCCTGGCTCCTCTCTCTGTTATGTGTGTGGTCACAGTTGCTGATAAGCCCTTCCTGAATTTATTTCAATTTCATGGATTCTCTGTTCCTTGCCTTCCCAGAGTTAAACTACATATCTGTATTTTATAGGCTGAGAAACAGTTAATGGAAGAAACAGTACTTATACATAGGTATATTCATGTAGTCATAAAGAAACTTATTTAGAACATGGAGTATACATCTTACTATCATAATATTTATATATTCACCTTTCATGAGCATCTGTGCTTTTATGTATTTACATCAAAGAAAATGCCATTCCCTAGAATATTTTTTCTAGGATTTCATGTATTTTACAACTAACAGACACTGTTAAATCTTTCTTGAGTCAGTAGATTTTTCAAAAAAATTAGTCCCCTTGCATTTGTCTTTCAGTCTAAGATATACCATGGCACAGAATATTTTTTATTCTCTACAGTTTCCATTACTTTTTTAAGAGATAGTGGAGAGCTTAGAAATCTTGTAATCTACCTTATATACCAGGTGAGGAAACNACAGAATATTTTTTATTCTCTACAGTTTCCATTACTTTTTTAAGAGATAGTGGAGAGCTTAGAAATCTTGTAATCTACCTTATATTATAGGTGAGGAAACTGGTATATTTTAATGTAGTGTAACCTCTAGTTCTGTGCAGTTTGTTTAACTAAATGTTTAAATGAAAATTGAATCATACTNCCTTATATACCAGGTGAGGAAACTGGTATATTTTAATGTAGTGTAACCTCTAGTTCTGTGCAGTTTGTTTAAATGTTTAAATGAAAATTGAATCATACTAAAAAAAAAAAAAAATTGAATCATACTAAGTCTGGGTTTTACCATAGTGTGGACCTTATAAACTTGGCTTCATGTTCAAATAATGGCATGTTTTAAATGATCATCATTCTTAAGATCTTCATTCTAAACGCAAATTGTTTGCATAGCCAAGCTAATACATAGCATTACTATTGTACTTTCTATCAGTGGCAAATTATTTTAAATTTTAATTAGTTTTTAATTGATTTTTAGAGAGAGGGGAAAAGAGGGAGAGAGATAGAAACATCAATGGGGGAGAAACGTCATCCATCAGCTGCCTCCTGCACGCCCCCTACTGGGGATCAAGCCCAAAACCTGGGCATGTGCCCTGACTGGGAATTGAACTGGTGACTTCCTAGTTCATAGGTTGATGCTCAACTTCTGAGCCACGCCAGGCAGGCTAATTAATTTTTTCAAGTATAGGTTAACTTGCCAAAATAAATAACCTCTATTTCCTTTCAACTAAGTAAACTGATTTGGTATCTTTCTTTTTTAGGTTGGGAGTGGGTTCCTTGGGAAGAATTTCCTCCACTAGACCAACTTTTCTGGGCGCTACGTTGTTTAAAAGAACAAGGCTACGATCCATTTAAAGAAGATTTGGATCATCTGGTAGACTACAAAGGAAATCATCTCTGGATGAACAAGAAGATTACCTGATATATATATATAAGTAATATATATATAGAAAGAGACAGAGACAGAGACAAAATAAGGTCCAGAGAATGAAAAATATCTGTATTTTAGAACAACTCCATTTTATCTAAAAAGTTCCATATTATTACCAGTTTCTTTTCTTTTTTTTTTTTTTAAAGATATTTTTATTGATTTCAGAGGAAAGGAGAGGGATAGAGAGATAGAAACATCAATGATGAGAGAGTCATTGATTGGCTGCCTCCCGCACGCCCCCAACCAGGGATCGAGCCCGCAACCCAGGCATGTGCCCCGACCGGGAATCGAACCACGATCTCCTGGATCCTAGGTTGATGCTCAACCACTGAGCCATGCCCAGCCGGGCTATTTTCAGTCTCTTAATATACCTACCACCCTTTCAGCCAGTACTTGTGAAAAATTTCCTGGGTTTATATTATGAATTGTATTCCAGACTCAGAAAATGTGATAAATGCTGATATTGTGATTAACCTGCTTTCCATATTTCTCTAGGATATTTTCTGTGTAGTTTGTCATTACCAGCTTGCATGGAGTGTAGGAGAATTTGCCTTAGTGTTTCAGTTCAGATAGAGATCCTAATTCAAATGCTAACACTGTATGCCTGTAGTAGAATATATCATGTTTGTTGGTTTTTCTTTCTTTTTTATCTAAGACGAAAGATTTTTGGTAGTACATTGTGATAGTCCTTTTAACTAGAGTGGACAGGAGAGGTTATTAGGGTATATTTTCTAGCTTACTGATTGGGAACCTAAACCAAGAGAAGTGAGAAGAACCTTCTAGGATCTGTATTCTATCATTAGCAAGCCATCTAATTTTGGATTTCTCACTTAATCTCTCTGAGATCTAGCATCCTTATATGTAAAGTAAGGAGATTAGACTAGAGCAGTGGTTATCAAAGTGTGGTCTGAGCAAGTCCTTGAGACCTTTGAAGGATACTCAAGATCAAAGATTTTTTTTAATACTAAGACACGATTTGCCTTTTTTACTCACATTCTTTCGTGAGCATACAGAAGAATGTTCCTGACCCTACGTGATTTGTGCTAACAGGCTGAATGCAAAAGCAGATGTGAGAATCCAACTCTCTTCTATTAAACCAAACATTAAAGAAATTTGCAAAAATGTAAGACAATGACATTTTTCTCACTGTTTTTTGTTTTTGTTTTAGAAAAAGTTATTTTTCATAAAAGTTATGTTAACATTTGATAGGTTTTGTTATTTGTAAATGAATTAATAAAAAATTCTTAATATTTCTGTTTTAATTCCTAATGTGATAAATATCACTAGATAAAACCCTACAAAAACCAAAACTCTTTGGGGTACTTATATTTTTCAGACTATAAAGGGATTCAAATAAAAAAGTTTAAGAACTGCTGGATTAGACCACAAGTTTACTGCTTTTTCTTTATAAGCCAACTTCTGTAAAATCCCATGCTTCTCCTAGAGCTGGTTACATTTGAATTTTGCCCTTTAAAAAGACTAAAAAGTACTATAACACATGCTACCAAAGAATATTTTTCCAATAACCGGATATAATTTTTTAAATTTTTAATTGCTTGTCTTTTCAAAATTGTATGTGTACATTGTATAGTTTATCATTTATAAATTTCATTTTCTATTTATTTTTACATGCTTTTCTTGATGTTAGAACGTTAGAGGAGCTCAACTATAATAAGTGTATATTCCTTGCACTTCAGATACACTGATGAATTTCACACAATTTTTTTCTGCTCTTATTTGATCACTCCACATCCTTCTGTATCTTGCTAATTATTTTTACTCCCTTCTTCACTTGACTTAACCTCTATCCCTGATCCTCCCTACATGGTGGACATGTGAGGCTGGATAAGAAGAACCCAGACAAGTCCTATGGATGAAACTTTACCATAGGTTTATCTCAAGTGTAGTGGGTTGGGAATTTATTGAGACATCTATTTATGCTAGTACTTTTCCAAGCAGATATTTTATAGCTTCAGAAACTTGTCACAAGCCTATAGAGTTTTTTTTTAGGGAAAAACTTTTATATTTTATATATCAGTGTTATTCAAATACAGTACAGTCCCTGACTTAACATTTTGCCCTCTTCCAGTTGCTAGAACCTGTCACCAGCTCTTTGAATTCTGTCACAGTGGAGAGGAGCAGCTGCTCCGATTTACACTGCAGTTTCTTCCAGAGCTGATTTGGTGCTACGTTGCTGTCTCACCAGCAGAAATGTGCATAGCAGTGGGTGCATGGAACCTCTTCTTCTAGGGGTTTACAATTTGGTTTGTATTTAATGTGGTTAACAAACTTTTTTTTGGCAAAAGCAAATACATAACCTTTTCAGCAAAAGCAAATACGTAATAGCAACTACTTTTCATGTTTGTAAAGCTGATATTTGTTTTTTGTAAATCAAATGACTTAGCTCATTATTCCAAACATAACTTTATGGAGGCTGAGGGCTATATGGACATACATATAATTATGTAAATAAATCTTTTGGGATTGAAGACTGAAAATCAGACCAGTTTTTTATGGATTATCTGAAAATATGGTTGATTTAAAATTTTTTTAAACTTAAAATCCATTGTCTATAAATTGTTTGTGACCTCCACAAAAAAAGTTTAGGAGAAAAAATTTAGTTTAATATCTACCACTAATAATTCTGTAAAATCTGGACTGTCTCCAGCGTTTATACCATTGATTTAACATGTAGTTTGAATTACTAATAGTACTTGTATATTAATTAGCATGACATTCTAGATACTTAAGGTTTCTACCTTTTTAAAAATTTTATCTTTACTATTGTAAATATTACAGATGTCCTCTTTTCTCCCCATTGCCCCCTTCCACCCCGCACCCACTCCCCGACCCAGGCCTTCACCACACTGTTATCTGTGTCCATGGGTTATGCATATATGCATATAAATTCTTTGGTTAATCTCTCCCTGCCTACCTGCCCACCCCCACCTTCCCTCTGAGATTCATCATTCTGTTCCATGCTTCTGTGTCACTGAATCTATTTTGTTCATCAGTTTATAATGTTCTTTAGAAACCACATATAAGTGAGATCATGTGATATTTGTCTTTCTCTGCCTGGCTTATTTTGCTTAGCATAATCTTCTCCAGGTCCTTCCATACTACCAAAGGGTAGGAGATCCTTCTTCTTTATAGCTACATGGTATTCCATGGTGTAAATATCCCACGGCTTTTTTGTCCACTCAGCTACTGATGGGCACTTGGGCTGTTTCTAGATATTAGCTATTGTAAGTTGTGCTGCTATGAAAACAGGGGTGCATATATTCTTTCTGATTAGTGTTTCAGGATTCTTAGGATACATTCCTGGGAGTGGAATCACTGGGTCAAAAGGCAGTTCCATTTTTAATTTTTTGAGGAACCTCCATACTGTTTTCCATAGTGGCTGCACCAGCCTGCATTCCCACCAGCAATGTACTAGGGTTCCCCTTTCTCCACATCCTCGCCAGCACATATCATTTGTTGATTTGTTGAAGGCAGCCATTCTGACAGGTGTGAAGTGATACCTCATTGTGGTTTTAATTTGCATCTCTCTGATGATTAGCGACATTGAGCATTTTTTCATATGTCTCTTGGCCATCTGTATGGTCTCTTTGGAGAAGTGTCTTCTACTTTAAATTTTTGGTAGACAGTTGAGGAGCTTTTGAGTGTTTATTTTTTATTTTTATTATTTCACCCAACTAGACATAAAGGTTTATTACAATGGAAAGAAAAAACTTACCCAATCTCTTACTTATAGGAACAAGTAAAAATATGAGAGTTTCTTATTAGAAGGGGATTGCATTTACCTCACCATCTAATATTCTCAGTTGGTATCCAGTAGTCACTTGGTAAATATTTCTGTACATGAGTGAGTGAATGGAGCAGGATTTAGAACTCTCAAGTAAATAATTAACTCTTAGATGGTTTGAGAATTTCCTTTAGCAGAAAAAAACTAATGCTGACTACTCACAATGGTCACATAAAATTAAAGTCAGCTAAAGTTCTTGAAGTATACCTCACTCTGCCAGGACTCTGGGGAGTCTGAAATACCTCTTCATCTATCTGCTAAATCAAACCCTGGGGTGTCCTCTATCCTTAGATAGTCAAGTGTTCCCAGTACTTATTCTGGCAACATCCTAGCGAAAGTCATCCTCGTGGAGCATATCATGAACCCAGCCCCCCTTAGATCCGCTTGAAAGAAACACTCTTATCCTTACTGCCAGCTTTCCAAATAAGCCAAATACTTTCAAAAGAAATATTTTCTTCTTTGAGGCATCACGGGTCATGTTAATCCAGGATTGTGGAAAAGGAAAGCTCAAGGGCGTCATCCATATGGGAAAAAACATAGTTTTCTTCCAACATAAAATCACATCTTGATACTGCCTCCGTATTTTATTTTAAATAATTAGATTATTTATGTTATACATAGAAGACAGTACTGCACTTGAGTAGTGTTTATGAAAAATGCAAGTTAATGATAACAGAACCCATTGGCTTGAAGGTGTGTACCAAGCCTTTCATTTTATGGACTTCAAGAAACTGAATATGGAAGTTCATATTTAAGTTCCTCCATAAACATTTAATTTTGCATCTACTGTGTGCCAAGTACTGTTATAGGTGCTTAATAATATTTATACTGTAAATCTATCATGCTTCCTTAATCCCAAATTTCCATTTTAGATTTCCCTGTATTTTTATGTTTAAAATATTTAAGTATTTAGCTTTTTGCATAATATGCTTAATAGCTTAATATGCAATGATGTATCACTCATCTTATTTTTCAGAACAGTGTATGGGCAAAGGGACAAAGTAGGAAGCAAGCCAAGCTTTCACCAGCTTCAGTTTGACCTGATATTCCTGTGTTCTATTCTCTTTTCTTTGCAGATTTACTTTTCACCTATTCTTTGATGACTCTCCAAACAACATTACCTGCAGCTTAGCCTTTTCTCCCCTAAACTCCAGACCCAATCACACACCAGTTTTCTCTACCCAAGATTTTCCATGTCCTTCTAACTTGATATATTTCAAACTGAATTTCCTTTCATCGAATGACTTTATCATCTGCTGAGTTGCTCAAATTACATTCCCTTTTCCCACATACAGCAGTCACTCTGTCTTCTTTCTGTTTCTTTGATGTCTGTTGCATCTATTCCCATCACA